GTTATTAATTATTCCGATGCCACAATGTAGATAAGAACAGTGCTAGTTTAACTCTATTAACCTTCCGCCAACGGACGCAGGGTCTTGCGAGATCCGCGAGCTTACTTTTTTCAACTGTGAAAAAAATGAATTAATGGCTATTTGTTTCTATGTTAAATATGTGTTTTTCTTTCTCCTTCTAAAAATTTTATACATATTATAATAAAAAAAAACTGCTTTTCAAACGTTTTAAAACAATTTCATTTTTGAGTCACTTTTTTGACCCTGCATCCGCCGTTCGAGGATTAAAAATCGTATTAATAATTATCTGTTATGCATATAGGTCAAATGCGCACAAATATTTCGAAAAACATTAAATTCTAAGTCATAACAATTTACACTTATTTTAAAATAATTAAGCACAATATGACAATGTGGAGTCAAGGAATCGATTGAAAAGATCCGTGCTGTAGTCAAGCGTTAAATTATAATTATATTGACTCTTAGGAAACAATTTATGCACGTAGATATTTGCATTTATCGTCGCAAGCTACATTTAAGAAAGAAAACTACTTTTATATTGTTTTGTCTTACCTCCACAATGAATATAACAATCCAACGAAATGTGCAAAATATATCTTTCCATTGCAAAGGCCATACACCGACTATCCACATCATCATCCTTATTACTGAGAAGCCATAGTCCATGCCACTCTCCCAATTTGTCTTCATGCTTGGCAACATGCTAGTTTCGATCTCAAGAAAATTGTCGCGATGTCATACACAATATGTTGTTCAATTTATGCGAAGTATGGCTTTGAGAGGAATTACTGTAGTCGAATGTTTCACTTGTTCATCGATTGGTTTTCATGGTGATAAGATAACTAGTACTATAATTTCTGTGATCGTACATTTTTGTAACATCCAAGTTTTTCCATAATGTGCATAATTTTCTGCAATAACTTTGGATACGTTCCGTATCATGCAGGTGATGCGCATGATGTATTGTTTTATTCTACCTTAATATTCGGTAAACTACAGAAATAAAATGATACATTATGCGCATCATACATGACGAAACGCAATCTTTGTCGGTCTGATGATATTTGTGAACAACCACAATCTAAGCAATGACACTGCGCGTTGAACTTATCGCATCTGTTTCATAGTCCAGTATTCATAGTCCGTTCTTATTTTAAGATTGTTTATTGTAAGTAATGTCTTAAGTGATGTCTAAAGTAATATCTGAAGATGTTAATGCGGCCTTCATATTAGTTCATGACATCTTAAGACTGTACTTAAGATAGTCTCAAATATAAGAATTAACTATATATAACGGCATTAATGGCTTATGTCGACTTAGTCTTACTTTAAAGCTTAAAAATTTAAAAATTCCAGATGCAATGGAAATAGTTCTTTAAAAATTATTTTAAAGTCAGTCTTGAAATACTTTAAAATTCTGAGGTTATTTTAGATTAACCTTTTACACTATAAATTAACTCAACAATTTTTAAATAAACTTTTTATTACTTTTTAAGAAACCTTAACTTCGTTTAAAGTAAATTTTCTTAAGATAATAGTAGGAAATAAATACATATAATAATTTCTTTAGCAAGTGTTATATTTTAAAAATATATTACTTGTATAATTAATAAAAGACAAAAACATCTTTTTCTTGAAGGAATTCCCTTTCTCTCACGTTTGTAGCATTATCCTTAATACCGATAAATAAAGGGGAAAGCCTTCAGAATTTCTTTAAAGCTTATGAAATTTATTGCTAGTTTCCTGCAGTTAATCGGTGAACATTGGTTGATCAAAGGATCATTAATGGCAAATTCTTCATCATGTTTAAATTAAAATTGTGTACCATAGTGAGTCATAAATCGTAGAAGCTAGTCCTTGTGATTGTAATTCCAACGTCTGTCCGGCGAAGTAGTAAAGAAATAGCTGCAGTAACAAAACAACGATGAAAAGATGTTTCATGGCGTATGTACTATACATCGAAAGCGTGAGAATTAACTGAAAACCTGAAATAAGTACGATAATGAACTATATACATACGATAATTATTGATAAGTTTAAGATTTCTTGTAAATTTTGTAATAAATTTTGTATGTCTATTCTGTAATTAAACCAGAAGGTTAAGAGGAGGCATTAAGGAAACATTTATTTCATATCTTCATTTTTTATAGGACATAAAAATTATTATTAAATAATGTAGTTATATATTATATAAATAAAATGGATATTATGGAGATAAAATGTACTTTCAACGCATAATAAAATCACACTTATTAAAAGTCGAAATAAGATGATCAAAATGAATGCGTTTTATAGATAATGAGCTAAATATATGAAGCGATGATCTTCAACATAATACCAAGTCTATTGCAATTAAAAAATTCTTTGTTATTTTCTGTTTCAGAGAATTCTACTCTGAAAACTTCGAACTGTACACATACATGCATTGTGAGATTAAAAAAAATTCATCGTTTCTGCATTGCGAAATATATACAGTTGACAAGGATTTGTAATGTTTGCAGGACTTCAACGAAGCCGTAAGGGATAAATATATAATTTCCGAAAGCACAATAAGCTGCTAAAAGCATTCTCCTTTCGCTTATTTTATTGTAAATCTGCTTTTCAAAGGTCCAAGGCAAATCAAAATCGGCGAATATAAAAGGTAAAAAGAGAAACACGCAAGAAGAATATCCAAGATAAAAAATTACCGAGGAACCCCGCCTACCAATGCGTGCGTATTTTAGCATAATGTCGCGTATATGGATTTTTTACGAAAGTCTAATCATTGATGATAGATTCTATCAAAACTAAGCTGTATCTCCAATTTACATGACCTAAAAGCAGTTTCGATATATTAATTACCGATGAGCATGTCATTAAAAAAGCGTGTAATACGTGTAATCCTCATGACCACGGCAATGTTGAATAACTTTCAATGACAGGCTGATCGTTGCACTCAGATAATTAAAAAAAAAAAATAAAGATATTGAATAATATAATTTTTAGACCGTGTATGTGAGAGACACAACCGATAAATAAGAGCCCTATACAGTCGAAGCTAGATCTTAAAATGCTTTAAATAATTCAATCTTGAATCACTAAATATGATATTATATGTACTTGACATATATACCACAAGAGTGAGATTTGACTCTTTAGAGTTAGATTTCACTCCAAAGATTTTTCGTAATTATTTTTCTCACTATTCCATAGCTATCAAATGGCGTCATGTATGTTCTTGAACATCACTGAAAATGTAATTCTTTCTAACGGCAAAACTACAATTATTATAAAAGGTTTTTCTGCCAAATCCTGTATTTTGTAACCTAATATAATATTTATCAAATGTTTCAGCTTTATTTATGTAATACGACATCACCAAAATTAAGCAGAATATGACACATACATATATATAGATAAAATTTATTATTTTAAATTAAAACAAAGAACATTAAACATTATACGTAAACAAGAAAGCAAAATAAAAATTAAATATAAATTTTTTTTAGTAATAACTAAAAGTTACAACTTACTTCTATTATCGTCGACATAAACCATCGAATTCTCGAAAATATATTTTCTTCATTGAGCACCCATAGTTCAAGTATATAACCAAAAAGATATTTATAAAACGTTAAAACGTATGAAGTTTCAACATTCCACTCTACAGTTAATCCCATTTTCAAGCACTTTAAAACCTGCAGACTATAATAATTCCTTTCAATTTATTTCATTCGATAACTGTTGCAATTATGTATATTATACTCAGTTTCTCTTCAGTTTGGCTTCTCTTCAAAAGAGAATGCAATCCTTCGTCTCTCTGCAATAATGTATTGTGATGATACTCGATAACTACAACCCGCATTTGTTTTGCTGCGACAACCCCTCGTGAAACTAACTTCCCTGGATTTCTGATTTATTATTTATACCTTTTACCATTTCCTTTAATTTTCTAAGAATCCAAGCATTATAGCTTGCGTTTCCATATGTATTATTTGTATAAATAATATGGTTATACACGACACGACACATTGTCCTCAAAGATACTTCGTCTTTGAAATAATAGGTTTATCATTTAAGTGGCATTTATTGATAAATAAAAAATTTACGGCATCAACAGTGAAACAGTTTCTTGAATTATTGTTCTATCATCATTTTCTGAAGAAACAATTTATTCTTTACAGGTAGATAAATAAGGTATAAAAAATTGAAAAATGTTATATAGATAAAGTTGAGATAAAGTGGAGATAAAAAATTGTAGCACAAATATGATACTTGATGACTATAACATCTTTACAAACTAAGCAATAATGGTGAAAAATCTGCCACAATATATATTATTACTAATAATTCCAGATATTCGACTCGAAGAAATTGCCTTCTCGGATATCCGACCGGATAGCGAATATGCGATGTTGCATTCTATTCGGATATCCGATATCCGGTATCCGGTAATCTTACGATCCGGTGCATTCCTATTTTAATATACAAAAAAATTGCTGGAGCGCATTTTTGCACATCCTTCGCTAGGACTATCATCTTCATAGGCCGAATCGTTCGCTGGTTTTGTCTTCATTGGCCAAAATATACTTCAAAATAAGTACTTGAGCGCTATTTTGCGCCTATAGGAGGTTTAGCGAAAAAAATTACCAGGAATAAAATTTTCTTGTTTTTTTCCATAGGATACGAATCTGCAATAAAAAGTAAGCATTTCCATAGAAAAAAATGAATAAGGCCTGGGCCTTATTGGGCCCAAAATGGATCCTGACCCCAAAATCAAAGTAGCTCATCTAACGGCCCTCTTTTAACCCTACAATTTTCATTTGAAACATTTTTTCCAAAAATATATTGTTCTCAAAATATTTTGTGTCAAAGTTAAAATGGCCAAATATGATTCGTTACCAAATCGGGTACAGAATCTATAGGATCCCAAGATTTGACTATTTAGAATATTTATTTCAAACGTGATCTTTCGGTTGGTAGCATTAGTTTTTTTATATCGTTTTTGCAATTTGGAACGTTCCCTTGTAAGACTAATTGATACAAACAATGTATAAACAATTTCGAAACTATGTTACATTCAACAAAATCGTATGTTTTTATAAAGAAAAGTTACAATAACTGCACGAGAAGATCGCGATTTTGCTGAAGTAGTTAAAAATTTAGTACACAAGTAGTTTAGTAAATACATTAATAATTTACGGCCAATATAAACAATCCTTAACGCAGAAGACTATTTTCTGGAAGTGTTTGCACGTCTATAGCACTGAAAAGGTTAAACAATATATTTTAATGTAAATTGCATATAAATTACGAAGTTAAATCTCGTCAAATTCGATTAAATTCTTCCATTGATTAATATGCCACATAAAAGTTGAACAATTAAATTTAATCAAATAATTGGCTTTTTTTATAGTATAATATAAAAGTTAAAATGTATGTCTAAAAATACTTTTTAATCAAACATATTTGCTTATATATGAATATTACAAGTATCAGTTTTCGTAATAAAATCGCAAAAAATTTACGTATATACACACGACGCATGCACATATATAAGTGCTATACTAATTAATATTGCTTTCTTAACGCTATTCTTAATACTGAAATATATGAGGCCGCTGTCTTAAGGATATACATCATAGTTTCGCGATTAACATAGAAAAATTTTCCGCCAGTTAAGCGGAACGGAATACTCGATCTCATCATCGCGAAATGCACGTCTTTCATCAATGCTGAAGGAAGTGTGAACCAAGAAGTTGTATACAACATATAAAATATATCTTCGCTTTCCTTTTGCAAGAATTCACCACCATAGGTATATACCAACGATTGCATTACTAAATAGTTCAAGAGAAAAACACTTTTTGTTGCTTCAACATGATTTTTCTCATTTATACAAATATTTAAACGCAATCCTGAAAATAAGTATTTTATTTCAAAAGATGTACGAACATGTACAAGTTGTGAACCATGTGACGACTAAATTAAATGTGATAAAATTAAGAAATTTATTAAATATAAATTTCTTCAATTTTTATACAAATACGTATGTAGATATTATGTAAATAAAAATGCGGAATAAAGTCTTTGATATACATTACCTACTAATGCAAGCAAAACTGTCACTATCACAATTTGATATAATATAAGAAAATGAAAAGTATCTTCCAAATTTTGATACAATTCCATTAACAGGCTGTGCCTGTTAACCAAGCTAACGAATTTCTTTCTATAATTTGCCTTGCTGTTCGGCTCGTTGGTAAACGTCTTGAAATTATTTTTTAGCACTTCAAGTTGACCGGTAAGATGTATTGTAACGTTGAAGAAGAAACTATCCACGGTAAATAATAAGAAAGATAATACGCTTGATTGAACAATCTGGATAGTAATGATTATCGCATACTGTGGACCAGTAATCAACTGACTCAATGGACCAGATGGAATGAGAAGCAACCAATTTGTTGTATTAACTGCACATCACAAAAATAAAAAAAATTAAAATATTATAATATAATTTAATTTATAATTAGTCATCAAAACTAATAAAAAGATATATACTTGGAAAACTTGTGTTAAATTTAAATTTATATATATATTTAATTTTATTCAATTTAAATTTAAATTTAATGAATACATTTATTTTTATCAAACGGGCCATTCAAATTTTTGTATTAATTTAACATAAAATATGTATTATATTAATATAATGTATTAGGAAGTAACACAAATATTATGTAAACATTAACATATGAGATGAAACACTAATATAATTTATAAGAAAATTGTGGAACCATACTTCTTCAGTAAAATTAACATTTATAAAATGTTAAATTAAAATATTTTATTCATTTATCTTAGAATTTATGTTTTAAAATAAATTATTTTTATGTTGTTTAATCATTTATTCATAAATTGTATTATTATAACGCTAAGAAACATTAATTTAACGAAAATATTCAAATAACACAATAACATCATGAAAAAATTAACATTCGAACATGTTAAAAATTTTGATAAGGACGGTTTTAACACAAATACAAAAATAATTTTAACTATAAACCACATAACAAATATAATTTTACCATTCACTAAATTCATGTCTGTGAAGAATATCTGCTTGAGATTAATGAATATGATGACTGCTATATACATGCCAAGGCACACATACAACGAGTATAATAACGTAAAGGTGAGTATTTTGGCTTTAACCGCAAACTTCTTCATAATCTTCCTAGTTTCCACATTATTTTTAACAGATAACCAATCATCAATAGCAGCATTAATGTTCATACTCAGCCTCTTTTGACTGACAATAAAACACAGATTTTTTATAATTCCAGTCGAAGTAGACGCAAAGAATATTATACTTTCTATATTTGAGCTGGCATCCTTGTTGCTCCAGAGGAGCTCCGTCGTCAGACAAGGTAGTACCATAAACTAAATAACAGTTAGTATCTCAGCAAATACAATACTAATAAATATAAAAGAGATTAGTTTGATTTGTTATACAAAAATATAAAAGAATAATTTGCGATAAATGATTTTATTTTTACTGTAAGCATAAACTTGCATAACAGAAAAATAAAATTTTAAATTAAAAAATTTAAGAAATAAAATGCTAAAAAAATAAAATGTTAAATGAAAAAGAATTATATATAATAATATTAAAATTATATTTTAAAATTATCATTAAATATTTAGACAAAATTTTCTCACCAAACTACTTTGCGAATTTTTAAATTTTCCCATGATATTTTTTGAATATACGTTATACAACCATCCCTCTTGCATTAACGTACCTGTGCAATCAAACAAAAGCCCCATTGTATCTTCGTGAATACTGTCTGCTTCTGTAATGGCCACAAACCGTATACTTTTAGGAATAGTCTATGAGTAGAGAAAACGTAAGCGATGTCATCATTCCAACGTTTATTCGTCATTCTGACAAGCGGAAGAACTCGAATGATAGCTCATTCGAAACTACTTTGTTCAGTTGTTACAAACTAAATTTTGCCAAATTACCATCGATTTGCTATCGTTCAGTTCTTATTAAAAGTTATCAATAGCGCCATATTAACTTATTATTTTATCGAACTCATGTTTTATTAACTTGCGCAGAAATACTTCTTTTATAGACAAAGTGAGTGAAGGGATCGGTATCATCGACATCATGTCTTTTTACATGTCTACATTTATACTTCCATTGTCATTTCTACTATAGGAATTGCATTTAAAGTACATTAATTTGGTGAAATAATTAATTTTTAGGGCACATTTAAAGGTATTCTTGTAGAATTCATGCTTGGTAGGACAAGAGAGGATTTGACAGCACATAAAAGATCAACACAGTATTAAATAGATGGTGACAATGCTTTGGTCCATCAGTGCATATCTCATAATAAACATAATATTAATACAATTTTGCTCTGTTCCATTAATATTTATCTTTATTTACAGAAAAATACTTGTCAATTAGTTACAATTGTTTAAGAAATATTAGTTACATAGTGTTAAAGTAATTTATAAAAAAGGAAACTAAACCATCTACTTTTCTCCTAAAAGAATTTCTACTCATGTCTTTATCATTACCCTTAATACAGATAAATATGAGGCGGAAGCCTTTAGAATTTCCTTAAAAGTCATAAAATTTATTGCTACGAATTTTCCTGCAGTTAACTGCTGAGGACTGGTTGCTCGAAGAATTATCAATGGTAAATGCTTCATCATATTCACGTCAAAAGTGTACCATGGTGATTTATAAATTGCATAGGCTAATTCTTTCGATTGGAACTCCAATGTCTGTCCAGCGAAGCAATAAAGAAAAAGTTGGACCAACAGTGAAATAATAAAGACTCCATGTTTTGCAGCGGTAAGAACATCATTTATTTCAAGCGAAAGAAGTAAAAGAAATCCTGGAAAAAATAGTGTTGAATATAATAAGAACTTTAAAATAGTTACAAATTCTTTATTTATTGTTCTGAAAGTTATAAAATTATATTCATATAATTGTTTTTTATTTATTCTATGTCATGTATAACATGGAATGAATAAATATAAATTTCAAAATAACGATAAATTTGGTTACAGTTTGTTTAAGTTTAAAATAATAACTACCTTCAACGCATAAAACAACAACACTCATTAAAATTTGTGCCAAGATGACTAGAGTGAATGCTCTCTCTAAATAACTCGATAAATATATAAGGCGATAATGTCTCTTCAACAGGATGTCGAGTTTGCTACAGCAGGAAAATTCATCGCAACCCAATGCATTAAAGTTCATACGAAGAATTGCAAATTGTCCACATACGTGCATTGTGAGATCGAAAAAGAACCCGTCGTTTCCGCATTGCGAGATGCCATTAACGAGGATTTGTATGAACTGCAGAACTTCAATGGCGCAGTAAGTAAAAAAAGATGTATAGTATTTTCCAAAAGTGCAGTAGGCCGCCAGCATCAGTTTCTTTTCGTAGGTTTCATTATAAATTTGCTTTTCAGAGGTCCAGGGCAAATTGATATTGGCGAGCACGACACTAGAGACGAAGGATACGACCGAGGCACAACCTAAATAGAAAAATATCGAGGAGCCTAGCCTACCTATGCGAGCGTACTTTAACATGATATCACGGAAGTGAGAATTTTTCACGTAAGTCCAATCATGGATGACCGATTCTACCAAAATAGATTTTTGTTCCCAATATACGCGATGCAAAAGCAATTTTACTAAGCTGATTATTGACGATGAGGTTAATAGAAAAGCATCCATAGCATCTTCGTGACCATTACAATGTCGAATCATTTCTAGCGACATGATGATCGATGTACTCATCTAATTCATGAAAATAAAATGAAGATATTTATATCTCAATAAAAATTTATATCTCAATTTTTATTTTGTTTGAAACACATTAAATGAAGTGGAGATATTCATATCTCAATATAAATTTTTATTTTATTTAAAACATACAGGATTTAATATATAGGATGTTTCGCGAAGAAATTGATAAAGTTGAAGTGTGTTTTAGAAATCATTCTAAGCAAAAAAGTTCATATACACTACAGGTTAATTCAATTCAGTTATTGACACACAAATAAATAATTATATTTTAATGCAACAGACATAATATACTAAATATTTATCATTTTTATGTAAATATTATTTTCATAATCATATTAGTTGGTCGAAATGCCTATATATTGCTTGTAAACATTGCTACTTACTATACTGCTTGATGTAGGTATCATATACAAAATATCTGCATATGCCAAAATGTCTGCATATTTAGCACAGCTAAATATTGGAGGTATTTTTTAAGAATAATATGATTCTACTTGAAAACAATTTACTAAATAACGAAAATATGTCCAGAAATTTGTAATAATAATAAATGATTACTATATGCAATAGCACTACATAAACACTAATTTACAAAGCCAAATAAATACTTAGGTTGTACACTATGTAAAGCGAAAATTAGCGCTCTGAGTGAAGCGAGGCTGTTGTCAGAAATTTCCATTACTGACAAAAGTAAAATTCTTGATAATTCAGTCAAATGGAACTATAGTATATATATCAAAGACATAGAACATGGACTGTATCCGTATTTAAATAGTAGGTATATCGTATGTGGGATCAACAAAAATGAGAAAGAGAAAGCGTGAACACGGCCAAAATCTCTCTCCCTTCTTAAGATATTGAGATTGGTTAAATACAAAAGGATAGAGACTAATCGTTTCCACATCCTAGCTCTTTCATTTTTGTCGACCAATTTTACACACGGCATAGTCCATGCTCTATATTTTTGGTGTAAGTAAACCTTTTTGTTTAAAATAATCTCTAGTATAGATTTAGAAACACATTTGTCGTTTTCCTCACAAAACACCCTTGAATATAAAATATAATAGTTTAATAAAAAAAAAGTGTAACAAAATATATGTATATTCATGATACATCAAAGCATGTTTATGGATCTGTATACAAATTGAATCTAATTTAATACTCTTCTATTATTTTTACCAAAATAAAATTAATAAATACAAGTACTCAGCGAATATATAAGCTTACAAATTATAATAAATATATGATAAAAATGTAATAAAACATAACTTACTTCCACCAGCGTCGATAAGAACCATCGAATTCTCGAGAATACATTTCTTTCATTTAATACCCAGAGTCCAATTATGCCAAGAAGATTTTTATAAAATTTCAAAATGTTTGTAGTGTCAGTATTCCAATCCGTATTTGATCTCATTCTCGAACACTCTAAAACGCTTGCATAAGTTCTTTATTCCTCCGGCTATTATACACTGAATCTTCCAAATATCTCTTCGATTTGTTATTTCCCGAAAGCGAATGTATTTCTTCATCTACGTTCCTCGGCAATAACCGCATCGTTCAATATTTGATTTGTTACAGCTATAAGTACATGTGATACTTAAAGCAACCCCTCTGTGCAGTCGACCAAGTGGATTTTTTTTAAATTTATTATTTATACTTTCGGCTTTCGTGACTTTCTTGGAGAAAGCAAGTATAGCCTTCGTTTATATTCGTGTTTGTACAAATAATATAGTTACGAAAACTACACAACACAATTGTCTCCGATGAATCCTACTAATATTCTCAATGTTATACTTACAGACGTTTAAATATTTTATTCTATGATAAATAAAAAATATATAAACAGCAATATCTATATAAATAGCATGAAACTATCGATCTCTCTGAAAGACAAATTCATACGTTGTTTCTAAATAGCTTTAATATATAAGAAAGAAGAAGAAAAGAAAAACTCTATGCAGGAAAATCGTAGTGAAGTACAGTAAGAATTTGTGACATTGATATTATTTCATCATTTTTTCATAATAACCGTTATATATTAAATAATATTGAAACGGTTTATACATATTCTCGCTGATCGTCAATGTGGTAATAGAGGTACAATTGCACCGTCAAAATTAAGACAACGTGTTTTATTGCGAGATGTTACTGTTTAATTTCAACGATATTATTAATTACATATTTAAAAATAAATTTTAAGTTATACATATTACAATAAACATAAAATAATATTTCAATATTTTAGTACACAATATTCGATAGAATTATATTATTATATCAATAATGTTATTATATAGAGTATCCGACATGCTTGTAGATACCTTGAATTTGTTTTTAAATACTTCGAGTTGACTTGTGAGATGTATTGTGACGTTGAAGAGGAAGCTGTCCACAATACATAATAAGAAAGCTAATATTACAGTAGAGATATAACAGTACAGATATAATTTAATTTACAATTATATTAAAAATATAAGTAAACAAAGATAATAGCGCAATAAATACAATTAGATTTTATCATCCACTAAATTCACGTCCATGAAGAACATTTGCTTCACATTTATGAACGCGATGATTGCTACGTATGTAAGTGTTAAGAATTATCTACAAATAACGAGTTTAACAACATATATGAGTATTTTGGATTCAATCGCATACTTTTTCATAATCTTTTTAGTTTCTTCATTATCTTCAGCAGACAACAAATCATCAATAGCATCATTAATGTTCGTATCCAGTTTTTTTACTGACAGTAATATATATGCTTCTTATGATTACGATCACGGTAGACACAAAATATACTATACATTTTACATTTTGAGCTGGCGTCCTGGTTGCTCTGGAGGAGATCCATCATCACCCAATATCATAAAATAAATAACAATTAATATCTCAACAAACATTAATCAATATAGAAAAATATGCAATAAATAATTTTTCATTTTCCTTTATTATAAGCATAAACTTGCCAAACAGAAAATGAAATGTTAAAAGAAGGAATTGAATTTCTTGAAATCATTACTGAATATTTAAAAAAAAATGCCCACAAAATTACTATAATATACAAATTTTAAGACTTCGCCTATCATGTTCTTTGAATACAATACATTACACTATCATCCCTCTTGCATTAAAATATTTATGTAATCATGCAAAAGTCTCATGTATATCTTCGTAAGTATTGCCTTCGTCTGCAATAACTACAAACCTAACCGTATACTCTTACGGTTAGGTGTAGTATATGAGTAGAAAAACGTATGCGATGTCATCTAAAGCTCTAGAAATACCAAAGTAGCGCATAGGTCCTCCAATTTGGACCATTTGTATATTACAATTATACAATTTATACCAATAATACTAAGCGCTTATTAGACTACAGACGACTAAATCAAAATGGCGGTCGAAATAGCCAATAGGAAAGTTGTCGGCATTTCGGCTCAGATAAAAGGAATGCGCTACTTTGATATATCTAGAGCTTCAATGTCATCGTTCCACCCAGTGTTGCCAGGTGTTTAAAAGTTATCTGTATACATTGCTATTTTCTTAATATTTCAGCAATTTGAATTTTTTCTCTGTGATGGTAATCGTACATTTTTGTAATATCCATGTTTTCCATAATGTGCATAATTTTCTACAATATCTTTGAATGCATTCCGTGTTATGATGTATTTTAATTCACCTTAATATTCAGTGAACTACAAAAATAAAATGATATATTATGCCGATTATATATACATGACACTCTTTGTTAGTCCGCCAATATTTGTGAACGATCATGATCTAAATAATAGCGTGTTGATCTGTTTCATAGTCCGGTATTCATAGTTCGTTCTAATTTTAAGACCGTCTAAAGTAATGTTTAAAAACTGTTGCATGTAAAAGTCGTAGTTGTAATCGTAAGACTGTAAAAAGCGATAAATTGATTAACTACTGCGTCGGGACCAAGCATTGTCGCGTCCTCTGCGCAGAAGCAACACGAGTGAAACATCATAACCTCGAAGCCATGATCACGAACGCAAATCCCGTCGAGAGATTATGATTAACGCCTTATCCTTATGATCAATCAATCGGAAGACAGTCACGTGACTTATCGCTTGCCTCGTAGCCAATCAATTTATTGCTTTTTATGACGTCTTACGGTTACGACTAATATTTTTACGTGCAATGGCTTTAAAAGATCGCTAATGCGATCTTCTGATTGGTTCATGACATCCTAAGACTGTACTGACGACAGTCTCAAATATAAGAATCGATCATACATACCGACCTAGATCTCGACTTAGAGCGGAATCCATAAACGTTGCTTAAAATTCGAGATGGTCTTGAACCAATCAAGCTAGTGCATGAACCAATCAGAGAGTATCTATATTGCTTGAGATTAAGAACGGACTATGGATTCTGGCCTTAGTCTTACTTTAAAGCTTATAAAAACTTAAAAATTTCAAATGCAATGAAAATAGCTTTTTTTAAATTATTTTAAAGTCAGTCTTGAAATAATTTAAAGTTCTAAGGTTATTTTAGATTAACCTTTTATACCTTAAATTACCTCAAAAATTTTCAAGTAAACTTTTAATTATTTTTAAAAACCTTAACTTCATTATATATATAAAGTAAATTTTTCTAAGAGAGGAAGTAGTATGATCTGTATATATGTATATACATATAATATATATATATACGTATAATAATTTGTTTATCAGTATTACATTTTAATAACATATTACTTGTATAATTAAATTAAGGCTACACGATGAAAAACAAAAATATCTCTTTCTTGAAGGAATTCCCTCTCACGTTTCTAGCATTACCCTTAATACAGATAAATATGAAGCAGAAGCCTTCAAAATTTCCTTAAAGCTTAAAAAATTTATTGCTAAGAACTTTCCTGCAGTTAATTGATGAGACTTGGTTGATCGAAGGATCATTAATGGTAAATTCTTCATGACGTTTAAATCAAAATTGTACCATGGTAAGTCATAAATCGCAGAAGCTAATTCTTGTGATTGGAATTCCAACGTTTGTCCAGCGAAGCAGTAGAGAAATAGTTGCAGCAATAAAACAACCAAGAAAAGGAGATGTTTCATGGCAGCGTATGTACTGTGCATCGAAAGCGTAAGGATAAACTGAAAACCTGAAATACATATGATAATGAACTTACAGTATGCGCCAAAAAAATGCGACTCTCTTTTAATCGAAATCATATCGAATAAATATTTGGTAGAGGGATAAAATATTTGTGTTATAATTAAATTTTCCCCCGTCCACTCACTTTATTTAACTAAACCGACAACTGAAGTATTAGTTATGAGAGTCGCATTTTTTCTTGGCGCATACTGTATATATACCTACGATAATTATTAGTAAATTTAGATTATAAATCTTGTAATAAATTTTATATATCTATTCTGTAATTAAACCAGAATTAAGTAAAGGCGTTAAAAAATCGTATGTTTTATATTTTCATTTTTTACATGACATAAAAATTGTTACTAAATGATGTAGATATATTACATTACTCTGTTTCAAAAATTTTATCATAACGTTAATTGGATTACGATTTATTTGAGATAAAATGTACCTTCAACGCATAATAAAATCACACTCATTAAAAGTTGAAATAAGATGACCAAATTGAATGCTTCTTGCAAATGATAAGCTAAATATATTAGGCGATGATGTCTCTTTAACATAATACTAAGTTTATTGCGATCAAAAAATTCTTTGCTATTTTTTATTTCAGAGAAGTCCACCCTGAAAACTTCGAACTGTCCACATACATGCATTGTGAGATCAAAGAAAAAGCCATCATGTCCGCAATGCGAAATACAGTTGACAATGATTTGTAACATCTGCAGGACTTCAACGAAGCCGATAGATGTATAATTTCCGAAGACGCAATAAGCTGGTAAAAGCATTCTCATTTCGCTTGTTTTATTGTAAATCTGTTCTTTAAAGGTCCAAGGCAGATCAAAATTGGTGAATATAAAAGATGAGAAGAAAAACATGCCAGAAGAATATCCAAGATAAAAAAATACCGAGGAACCCCGTTTACCAATGCGTGCGTATTTTAGCATAATGTCGTTCGTATAAGGATTTTTCACAAAAGTCCAATCATTGATGACAGATTCCACCAAAACTAAATTGTGTCTCCAATTTACACGATACAAAAACAGTTTCAATATACTTGTTATCGATGAGGATGCTGATAAAAAAGCGTCTAATGCGTCCTCATGACCACGGCAATGTCGGATAACTTCTAATGACATGCTGATCGTTGCACTCAGCTAATTTAAAAAAATAAAGATATTGAGTTTTTGTGAAAGATACTCCATTTTTTATTAAATTATACACGGTCTGACAGAAAAACCTAACGCTTTTATAATGGTTGTAGTTTCGTCAACGGGGAGGATCACGTGGCTCTCATACAGCACACATGACGCCATTTTAGTAGGTATGGAGTAGTAAGAAAAATAGCTACGAAAACCTGGTGGTTCTTAAATTAATACCATGCAGGCAAGTTTTGCATATATACAACTGTGTCGTAAATATACTGTTTTGTAAATATACAGCATAATGTATCTCATTTATAAACATACTCAACATGCTTATTTAATAGCAACTGGAACTCAAAAGCTGCTATCTGATGTATCGTCTGGAAACTTACCTTAATATCACGAGACACGGTGCGACGCGTAATGTGTAACTTCCAGACTAGCCTACAAGAATGTGCGAAAAAATGTAAAATATTTCAATGACATATTATTTTCAACATTAATTGAACAGTTAATTAAGTGACACATATTATGTTACACATTACAAAGCTTGTTAATATATAAAATTAACCTACATAATATCAATTTAAACACCGCAGGTTTTCGTAGATATCTTTTCCAGTAGAGTTTGATAGCTACTAAAATGGCATCATGTATGTTGTTGAACATCACTGAGAATGCAATCCTTACATTATGCCAACAGAAAAATTACAGGTTTCTCTGCCAAATCCTGTATTTTGTATTTTATTTAAGGTAACCTTAATTAATATTTATCAAACATTTCAACTTACTTTATTTTATGTAATAAGACATTATCAAAATTGAACAAATGTGACATACAATATATATAGATAAAATTTATTATCTCAAATTAGACAAAACATAATACGAAAATAAGAAAGCAAAATAAAAATTAGACATAGGCCGGGTACTCATAGTCGGATCTTATTATCAAGATCATCTTAAGTACAGATTTAAGATGTTATGAACCAATCAGAGAACTATATTAGTATCTTAAGATATTACTTAAGACAGTCTTAAAATAAGAAATGACTTTATGAATACCAACTATTACTTTCTTTAATAACAACTGGCAGTTACAACTTACTTCTATTATCATCGACATAAACCATCGAATTCTCGAAAATATTTTTTTTTTATCGAGCACCCAGAGTCCAAGTATACCAAAAACATATTTATAAAGCGTTAAAACGTATGAAATTTCCGCATTCCACTCTACAATCAATCCCATTTTTAGCACTTTAAAACCTGCAGACTATGATAATACCTTTCAATTTATTTCATTTGATAACTCTGTTGCAATTATATTATACTGAATTTCTCTTCAGTTTGGCTTCTCCTCAAAAGATAATGTATTATAGTCCTTCGTTTCTCCGCAATAACTGCATTGTGATGATATTCGATAACTATAACCTGCATTTATTTTACTGCGACAACCCCTCGAGAAACTGACTTCCTCGGATTTCTTTCTAATTTATTATTTACATCTTTTACCGTTTCTTTTAACTTTCTAAAAATCCAAGTATAGCTTGTGTTTCCATTTCCATATGTATTGTTTGCATAAATAATATGGTTATACACGACATTGTCCTGTAAAATACCTACTTCGTCTCTGAAATAATAGGTTTATATCCGTTTAAGTTATATTTATTTGATAAAAAATTTACGGCACCAACACTGAAACCGTTTCTTGAATTATTGTCCTATCAGCTTTCCTTGAAAAAACGATTTATTTTTTCCAGGTAGAAAAATATAAATAAGGTATAAAATCAAGCGACGCAGTAGCGTCGCGACGGCAAGTGCATAAAAATATGAAACGGACCGCTTGACTGCTTGATGCGTGAACGTCATTGCTTATAATATGTATATGTTCGTGCCGCTGCCAAAGTCGCAACATTACGACTAGCTTTTTTCGGAGTTTTGACATCGGCAAACTTTCGATTAAAATTATTCAGAAACTAAAACGACAATCAAAAATCTAACAATCCTTTTATTATATAATGCCATTGCGATTTTTCGATTGCGACCAGTCCAAATAAAATTGGTGCAGTCGGTATCGAAATCGGGTCCCGAAAAGAGACTACTCCAGATGTTCGGATTCTTTTCAGTCATACGTATAACGCATCATATAAACTATAATATAAAGCGTTTTGTCCATCAAGCTGCTTTCACAATGCTGCTTTCATTCAAATAATATTATGAAAATTAACAATGTAAGTGAATATTAATGCATATACATGTGTAATAATTATCGATGTACACAAGACAGACAAACAGAGACAGCGCGCGCGCGCGTGTGTGTGAGTGTGTGTGTTGTGCGAGAGAGAGCGAGAGAGAGCGAGAGAGAGCGAGAGAGAGCGAGAGAGAGAGAGAGAGAGAGAGAGAGAGAGAGAGAGAGAATATGGTGGGGTATTTGACTGATTTAGGCGGCCAAAATTATTTTTGTATTAATAGTTTAAATGAATTTAAATGTGCCATTTTACTAATCCATTGTATTTTAAGCTGTAGGAAATATTTTTTTATGAAAAATCATAGTTTCTACAATTTTTAACTATTAATTATTCTCTTTAATTAAAACATAAGTTTAAACTTAAAATGTATATAATAATATCAGCTCGAATCATTATTACATTTTCAAAAATTAACAAAAAACAATGAAACCTCTAAAAAAATCTTTTTTAAAAAAGGAAAAATATACATCAAGTGCATAAAAAAGATGTCGCATATTAAATTTTTTTTTAATGCAACCCAGGCACGCCAATCATTTTCTTTACTATAATCCAATAGACAATTTTAATCACTATCTTAAGATAGACTAAAAGTGATTAAAATTGTCCATTGGATTATAGTGAAGAAAATACTTGGCGTGCCCGGGTTGCATTAAAAAAAATGTAATATTCGATACCCTTTTATGCACTTGGCGTATATTTTTCCTTTTTTTAAAAGATTTTTCTTTTAGCGTTTTATACTGTGTTGATCTTCCATGTGCTGTTAAATTTTTTTTTGTCCTATTACGCATGAACTTTACAAGAAAAGCTCTAAATATATCCAATGGAGTCATCTGCTAAAAAATTAACAACAGTTCCTTTAACTCAGTTGAAGACGAGATACACCTCTTTATGGCAATAATCTTCTACGATGATAGTGAAATCTTTCAGCAAGACAATGTTTCCTATTACATTGCATGGGATGTTGTTCAATAATTATTTAGGAGAAACAAGAGGAATACTACAAAATTTTGTTCTAGTCACCAAATTCATCTTATCTCAGTTACATTGAGCGTTAGGATGTATAGAACAAACCAATTTACTCCATATAACTCCCGCATAACTAAATAGTTTAAAGAACTGCTGTTAATGTCTTGATAGCAGATCCCAATAAATACATTTAGAGATCTTGTAAAGTCCAAGTCTGATATAAGAGCGCTGGCAGTATATGTAATTTGGATTTTTTCTCTGTATATTCCTCAGAAAAAGTCCCCAAAAATTCTCCTAAATTTTTTGTACTTCTAAAAAATCTGTGGAAAGAAAGAACCTCCAAATTTAAGCGAAAGTCCCTGACCTGGTTACAGTGATTCCACCGTTTATCCATTATTCTAGCGAGCGGAACAACTCGAATAATACATCGAAACTACTTCGTTCAGTTGTTACAAACAAAACTTTGCCAAATTATTATAAATATACGATCGTTTGATTCTTATCAGATATTATTGTAAGTTATCAATAGTATATTACCTTATTAATTCACCGAACTAACGTTTTATAAACTTGCGCAAAAATATTTCTCTCATCAGCAAAGCGAAAAGCGATCAAGACATATCATGTCTTTACATTCGTATTTCCATAGTCATTTCTATCACACAAACAACATTTAGTGAAGTACATTTGGTGAAATTATTAATTTTATTTCTCTGATAATGATTTTGTACCTATTCCTTTTGTCACGACAAACACAACTTAATAAAATTTATATAGAATAATATGGAACTATAATATAGAATAATATGGATACTTTATAAATCTTTCTAAATTTTTTTTTACATTATTATGCTTCAACATTTTATATATCTTCGTAACAGTTTCTTTTACATTGAGTCAAAACATTATGATCACTTACGTAATATTGTGTTGATCTTCCATGTGCTGTCAAAACCGTTCTTATTATAAGCTTGCTACAAGACCTTTAAATGTATTTATTGACATCTGTTGCCAAGATGTTAACAGCAATTATTTTAACTGTAATTTATGAAAGAGGAGATATGTAGAATTTGTCTGTTCAACATGTTCCGCAAATGCTCAATGGGTTCGAGAGTGAATTTGGTGACCAGAACAAAATTACTCTAAATGTGCCTTATATGTTTCTCAAACTATTATCGAAAAACCCGCACAGTGTAGCAAAGCATTTTGCTAACAGATTCGACTGCTATAAAAGACTGTTACCATAAAGGAGAATACTTCGTCATCAATAATTAGTTAAAGGAAATGTTGTTAATGTTTTGGCAGCAGATTCCAATAGATACATTCAGAGCTATTCCTGTAGAATTCGTACCTGATAAAATAACAAAGCATTTGGCAACTAGCATATGGAAGATCAATGGTATTAGATAATAGGTACTTACAAAATCACAA